TGCAGGGAATAAACTCCCTCCTAATCCTCTAACTGAACAAGCTGCAGGCATAAACCGCGCTGGGATCCCAACAGGAGCACAGCCAGGGGCGAGGAGCTGTTTATGCTGAGCGGGAGGAGGGAGGATGAGGAAGGCTGCAGGCAGGAGCTCTCATGCCTGCTGCACTGGGATCCCTGCTGCCAGCACTGCTCCCAGGTCCCACATCGATGTCCCCATCAGAAGAGGGTCCCACGAGGGATGGGCAGAGCCCCGGTGATGCAGCACTCAGAGCTGGGTCCTCTCTGCCTTCAGCCCTTTAGGAAGAAATCCATTAGCTGCTAATTACACACGGGCCAGAACTCTGCCAGGTTATTACGGCTGTACAGCACTCCACAGTTATAATCTGGAATTCTGCTGTAGGGTGATTACTGGGGGAGCAACACCTGATCTACAGCAGGGCACCAAGCTGGAGCGGAGCTGCCCCCAGGCAGAGGGTCCAGCCCTGAGCCAGCCCCAGGAGCAGCCAAGGTCACCAGGGATGGGTCCATGGGCACCCCAGAGCGGCTGGGTCCTCGCTCCTGCCAGCCCTGCAATCCCTGTCCCCAGAGCTGAGGGGACCAGGCACTGCCACCCTCCCCTTCTGCACCGCACAGGAGCTGCGGCATCGGGCAGCCCCGGCTGATGAAGTTGTAATTCCTGAAGTTCCTCCAAAATGAATATGGATGCACATCTGCCTCCGCTTAGGTGTAACAAATTGGGAGAGATTGTGTTAAATTGTGCCGAAACCGTGTCCACTGCCAGCATCCCAACCATCCCACGGGCGGCTGTGGCCTGCAGCTGCCGGAACCTTCCATGGGCTGGAGGAAAGAAACGCTGCAGAGCTTTAAATCTTCATCAGTTTAGTGCAGTGAGGGTCCTCTGCAGCCTCCTGCTCGTAGGGAGGACAAGCAGACCCCATTCCATGACGGGGACACGGTGCTGTCCCCAGGGGTGGCCGCAGGGACACTGAGGCACGGGAAGCTTCCCACGGCCAGGGTGCGCAGCCGAGCGTGGCCGAGCCGTGAGCCCCATCACCCAGGGCCTCGCTCTTCCCGCCAGATAACGCATCTAAAACATGTTTATTTCCATCCAGGCTGCTTCTCAATTTGATTATTTATCTCCCGTTTAGCCTCTGACAGATCAAAGGCTCGGCGGAGGGGAAGCGGAGCCGGGCTGCGCATGAAAATGAGCCTTGATACATAATTAATTAACATGAAACAGTTTCATTAGGAGACGGTGTTACATGGCTGTTTGTCTTAAAAATTTAAGCTGTGTAAAGAGCAGGGGGGAAAGCACACCTCCCTGCCAGCCCCTGTGCTGGTGCTGCCCATCCCAACCTGGCTCCAGCTCCCGGGAGCGCTGGAGGGGCTGGAGCGTGGCCCCCTCTCCCTGAATCCTGTGCAAAGTCCCCTACCCTCGATTATTAATCTGTTTTTAATTCTATTAAGAGATAGCCAGGAGAAAGAGTATCAATTTTAGATTAACAAGGTTATTAGCACTTAATTATGTGAGGTGTCTTTGTAATTGAAAAGGAAAAGAGGAAGCACCATAAATATCCCGGCCCCCGAGCTCCTGGGGGTTTGCGTGTGGCTCTTTATTCACGAGGCTGTGGAACCATAAATATTAAATATCTGGTGAAAAAAAAAATTACAAGGCAGAGAGAGGATGCCCTCTGGATATTCCGGCGCCGAATGTTCTTGCATTTACAAATATTCATTAGCTGGGATCTGCAAAGTTATTTCCACCAAGACTCGGTGAAGGAGGAAGAGAGAGAGGTTATTGAAAAAAAAAAAAATAGAGTCTAGAGTAAATATTATTAGTAATTTTTATCTCTGCGTGTCCCTAATTATTCCATAATTAGGGAAAGTGCACATATGCATATACAATCACTAACCTGCCAGTCTCAGGGATTCTCATTCCCAGCCCTGCTGTGGGATGGAGTCACCAGGGAAAACTCTCCTTCCCCAAAAGCCAAGGGAGTGTCCGTGCCCAGGGGACCCCCCTGTGCCCCCATGCCCAGGTGCTCCCTGCTGGAAGCCTGGGATGATTTAGGGAGCCACCAGCTCTGCCGAGCACCCACGACCTGGAGCTGCTGCCAGTTAGAGAGACATTAAATGACAAATCTCAGGCTCTTTTTAATTAAAAAATAATAGAACTCAGCAGGAAACGGAGCAATAACACAACAACTGCCAAAACCCACTTTGCTGGGGCTGCTTAAAAAAACAGCAGCTGGGGGGAGAGGCCACATTCACCTCTGTGGGGACAGGACAGGCAGGGGTGCCGAGGGTCCCCTCCAGCAGCCCCACTCCCCTGGGCCCGGGGCTCCTGGGGACAGCGCTGTCACACCCCACCAGTTAGCCTCGTAATCTAAACTAAACACATTGCCACGAGCTCATCAACAAAAATCTAATTACGCTGCGCCAGGCCGGGCTTAATTGCTCGTCCTTGACATGAGCAGTGCCCGTGGAAGCCCAGGAGCCAGCGAGAGCCTGGGACTGGAATTATCCTGCTCCCTGGAAAAAGCATGAAAGGAAAACGGGGGAAAAAATATGGCTGTGCAATTAGCAGAGAAACAGCAGACAAATCAGCTGGGTAATTGCTGGGGGGAGCTCCGAGGGTCATTAGCAGCTATGGGGAATACTGCTGCAGGCTCCAGAGGGACACACAGGAGCCCAGGGACTCCAAAAAGGGGGGAAATGGCTTAAAACCAGCTTTTCTCCCAGTAAAGAGAAGCTGGAGCAGATTCTGAGCCTGGCCCAGCCTCCCCCAAGCACCACGGGGCTCCTCGTTTGCTGCTGCCACTACCGAGGAAATCGGGATGCAGGAGGTGGCTGAGCCCCGCTGCCTCCCCCGCACGCTCCTCCCAGACTTATCACCACTCACAGGATGTTTACAATAATTTTTAATTTGCGCAATTATTAATCATTTTTCTATCTGTCTCATTTGCATAATAATTACTCTGCTTGCTGTTTGCCATGACTGTGAATGACAGTGGTTTAAATTAAATTAAGATTTTAATATTCATTTTTTTTGGGTTAAAGCTAATCAAAGTTGCTGCTCGATGCCAAGACCAGGGCTCTGCCCTTGCAGAAGCACTAATGAAGAGATCCAGTGCGGGTGTCACTGCTCCATCTCCATCACCCAGCTCATCCCAGAGGATCCCACAGTGTTTTCCAGTGGCTTTGCTGCCAGAACTGCTCAGACAAGGCCACGGCTGGGACAGGGGATGTGGGATGCAGAACAAGGGCACAGGGACAAACCCAGCTCCCTTCTCCCCAGGCAGTGCACAGGGATGGGATCAGGGAGGGAGGTGTTCATCACGTGAGGCCCCCCCTTTCCTCACAGATATCTCCTAAAAATAAAGTGTCTGGTAACAAGTAACAGATGTGTAAATCCAGAATTGTGATGAACAAAGAGGTCCCAAGGGTAGTACCTCTCAAATTTTAAAACCCCAGCCTTCAAAATCAGCTGCAAGAGCAGAACCTGCTGCCATTTTCAGGTCCTAAGCACATTTTGTTTAGTACCAACATTTAAAAGTGCTTTGCCTCCTTGAGAGCAGCTTACAGTCCCAAGTGTGACACGAGCCAGCTGCTGGCATCTGTGGCTCTGCAAGAGCAGCCACTGTCACCAAGCAGGTGAAGAAGGTACCAGCATCCAGCTCTGCTCACCAGGGCAAATCCAATCATTCCACAGCAGGTTCTTCACATCTCCAGCAGCACTCAGATTAAGTGAGAGCAAAAACGAATGTGTCAAGTGGAACTGCACTTGTCGAGGCTGTAGCTGCCTCAGGTTACAGGGGGAAATGAAACAGGGCTTTGGTGACAGAAGGGGAAGCACAGCTTGGAAGCATCGGTCTGGAAATGTGCTGCCACCTCCCACCCCCTTCCCCCAAACCATCTCCCTGCCCTGCAGGTGCAGCAGGGCTGGGAATGGTTCACCCGCCCTGGAAAAACCACCACAGGCAGAATCGAGTAAAAAAGGAAAGGTTTTATTTACAGGTGAACACACAAATTCCAGGGCTGCTGAGAATGTTACACAGGGATGAAAACCAGGGAAGTCCCAAGAGTCTGGCACTCCAGAGCAGACTTTGCTCCTATCCCTCCCACCCACAGCCCTCCCAACGTTGGAGAATCCCTGGAAAGAGCGATCCTGCCCTGCCCCTGCCCATGCTGCAGCCAAGGCATCTCCATGGAAACTGCTGCCTGCATTTCATCCCTGCTCCCTGGGACCTCAACAACAACAACTGTACTTATTTCCACAAGTGCTTTCTGGCACACAGGGATCATGGGAAGCTCTGCCTGGCCTCCAGCTCTGAGACTGATAAATCTGATCACAGGAGAAGGGCTGCCACACGTCCCCCCCTCCCCCCGAGCAAGCCCCAGGCAGCAGCGTGGGGGAAGTGCTGAGATCAGCCCCGAATCCAGAGGGGTCTGGGGGGACCAGCTGCTCCAAACCAGGGGGGAAGCAATTCCAGGTCTCAAGTCCTGATTCTCTACACATTTACTTCCACTAGAAATGGACCCCTGAAGAATTGCTGAGGCTCCTGAAGATCTTGCTGCCCAGTGCAGCACTGCAGGTCATTCTTCCAGTGCCAGAGCATTCCCTGCTCCATTTCCTGTTTGGACAGGGTCAGGAGAAGCTGAGTTTGAACTTTCCTGCACAATCTGCATGGCAAAATAACTGCATAAACTTAACAAAAGTTCAGAAGTTCAACTTAACCTGAGTTCTGGAGCAGTCTGACCCACTGCACGAGGGGAACTCTCCCAAGCCCAAGTGTTCAGCAGATTTTCACCTGAGATTTAGGACACCTGAAGACTTGGGAACCACCCTCAGAGGTCAAAGCATTTGGCATAGAACAGAAGTTTGTTAGAAAACAAACAAGAAGAGGCGTTCTTCCCAGAGAGCTGGAGGCTCTGGCTGACAGGGAGGTCCAGTGGGCTGCTGAATGCTGAGGACAGGGCTTGTTCCAGGGAGAGCCCAGGGAGAGCAGGCCATTCCTCAGGGCTCTGTGGGTGGTGCCTGTGGGTCCCTGCAGGAGCTCTCCCTACATGTCCTCGACACTCCACTTGTAGGCGAGCTCCTGCACCGCCTTCTTGTTGGCAATGCGGGCGAAGCGCTGCTGCTCGAAGCCGTTGGACCTGCAAAGGAACACCCAGGTGACAGGAGCTGCTGGGCACAAACTTTACAAGTTTACTAATTTGCTCTGGCTCAGTTTCCATGACAGGAGCTGCTGGGCACAAACTTTACAAGTTTACTAATTTGCTCTGGCTCAGTTTCCACCTGGACCTGTGGTTATCAAGAGCTGATGCCTTTGAAGTTCCTCACCTCCCCTTGTCCCATCATCCATTTGTAACTCAATCCAATCGACATTCCAACTGCCAGCAACCTCACTCATCCCAAAACTGGAAACCTTTACACTGGCAACTCCCTGAAGCAAAACTCCTTTATTTTTACTGTTATTCCAACAAGAACAAGTACCTGTCCACACCGTCCCAGCGATGCCCAGGCCAGATGTTAAACCTGTTGAGTGGAGGTGCTGGTCCCTTGTACCTGGGTTTTTCTGGAACACAAAGAGCAGAACAGCTGTTCTCAGCCAAGTGGTCACATCCTCACCCACCCAGGAGGTGTCTGCAGGTGGGTACAGGCAGAGAGCACAGGCTCCTGACAGCCAGCTACAGCTCCCAAAGGCTCACTGTGACAAACTGCTGAGTTTTCAGTCACCAGGCCCTGCTCTCCCACCAACAGCTCATGTAACTGTTCCTGGTAACAAGCCAGCAACTCCAGAGAGTCCAGAAGTCCCAGGACTCAGCTGCTCCAGCAGCCTTTGGTTATTTAGTGACACCTTAAACCACACACAGGGGTATTCCAGAGCCAAACCTTTCTCCTTGTTCTCCTTGGCCTTCCTTTTCTTGATGAGAGCAGCCATGGGGTCTCCTTCCCTCTCCTGTTCCCTCAGCATTCGATCCAGGTCCTGGTCATCGATGTACCGGGCCAAAGGCTTCTGCATCTCCTTCACTGCATCCTCCACGTTCTGCTGCTGCTGCCTCTCCTGTGCCAGCCTGGAAAACACACAGTGTCACCCAAACCCAAGCCATCACTCCTTGGGACTTGTTCAGTTTGCAGGATGGGTCACTGAACTCCCACTGCCTGGGCAGCATTCCCAAAGCACCTGCAGCAAAGGAAGGGGTTTCCAGACACGTGGAACACGTGTTGGTCCCAGGCTCAACCTCAGAATGAAGTGAAATGCAGTCTGGCAGCAGATCCGAACTAAAACCAGGAGATGGGAGGCCCAAGGGTTGTGCTCAGGAGTCCCTCACTCACCCTTTTCCCCACTTGGCATATTGCTCTTCTCTCTTGGACTCTGCTTCAGCCTTCAGCCTCTGCTCCAGCTGCTCCTGGGCCAGGTTCCTCTTGCGGCCGGACTTGTCTCGGTACACGGTCTGAGCGTTCCGGGATTCCTCTGGCAGGGACAGATTTTGGAACATTTTATCACCTCCAGACAATGAAATGACTTCTCTTTTGTTTGTCCTAATCTCCCAAAGAGCCTGTCACCCAAAGCCAGGCAGGATCTCAGCTCCTGCTTTTCCCAGCTGCCCCACACAGACCCTGAGCTCTCTGATTATCCCTCAGCTCCTTCAGACTTGCAGAGGAAAAGCATTTCACACTCCCTGTGATTTCCCTGGCATTGCTCTTAAATCCCCACACGGAACAGTGGCCCTGGCCAAGGCTTCCAGCAGCATGTCCAGCTGCAGCTCCACAGGGACGCTCCCCACCAGCATCCCTGTGCCAGGGCCTGAGCGAGCAGAGGAGGAGAAGGGGAGCTGGGGCTGGGGCTGTGTTCCACTCTCACCTTCCAGGTGCTTGGTGCTCCTCTCGTGCTTCCGGAGCTCCTGCTTCTCCCTCTGCAGCACATCGGCCGACACCAGGCCAGCTCTGACCCTGTATGCCATTGTGTCAGCCTGGAAATCACACAGAACGAGGGTGACACAAACCACAGGGACAGCCCTGTTGGAACCTCTTGTACAAAAACTTCCCCAGTTTGTCAATCGACTTCCACAGCTGGAAGGGAAAGAGACAACCTTTACCTTGTTGGGAGAGCCCTTGGCATCCCGGCGGTGTGGGGAGTGCTCTGGGGGACTCCGTGACCTGTGCTGGTCCTTCTGGGCAGGCGAAGCCCGTCCTGCAGGAGACAAATCAGAGAGTGAGGATTTGCTGATTCCTCCAAGATGATCACACTCAGGGAATCACTATGGGCACAGCCCAGGCTGCAGGCTGGGTAAACTCCCGCCCAGCCGTGCACGTGTACAACGACACATGTAGCCAGCTGTGGCTACAGGGACAGACAGCTGCCACTGCCAGCTGTGCCAGCAGAGCACCAGCCCACAGCACTCACCTGTGGCAGTGTGGATCGCAGGGAGCCCCCAGGACACGGGGGACACAGCGTGTGACACTCACCTTTCGTTCGGCTCCTTTTCCCACTCGGGGACCCCGGCTTCTCTCTCCGAGGGGACAAATCCTGACACTGCCGCCGGGGAGGTGACAGGTCTGGGGTGTCATGACGCCTTTTCCTGGGAGGTGACAGGTCTGGGGTGTCGTGGCGCTGTCTCCTGGGAGGTGACAGGTCTGGGGTGTCATGACGCCTTCTCCTGGGAGGTGAGGGGTCAGGGGTGTCGTGGCGCTGTCTCCTGGGAGGTGAGGGGTCAGGGGTGTCGTGGCGCTGTCTCCTGGGAGGGGACAGGTCTGGTGTGTCATGGCGCTGTCTCCTGGGAGGTGAGGGGTCTGGTGTATCATGACGCCTTCTCCTGGGAGGTGAGGGGTCAGGGGTGTCATGACGCCTTCTCCTGGGAGGGGACAGGTCTGGTGTATCGTGACGTTGTCTCCTGGGAGGGGACAGGTCTGGTGTATCGTGGCGTGGTCTCCTGGGAGGTGACAGGTCTGGGGTGTCATGGCGCTGTCTCCTGGGAGGTGACAGGTCTGGTGTGTCATGACGCTGTCTCCTGGGAGGGGACAGGTCTGGTGTATCGTGACGTTGTCTCCTGGGAGGTGAGGGCTCAGGGGTGTCGTGGTGCTGTCTCCTCGGAGGAGAGAGCTCCAAGGAGCCGTTGTGTTTCCCTGCTGGGGACGAGGGCTCTGGGGAGTCGTGGCGCCGCCGCCTGCGAGGGCAGAGAAGGTGACAGAGAAGGTGACAATGAGCTTGGTTTGGAAGCAAAGCAGGACCCACAGAGCTAGGAGGGGCCAAGGCTGGGAACAGTTTTGTGAACAAGGATTTGTTTGGATTCTGCACCCCAGCCTTCCCAGGGCAGATCCCAGAAGCCCCCCAAGGCAGCCTGGAATGTTAACATCTCCACCATGACCATCATTCAAACTGACAGGGACCATCACCCCAATCTCCCTGGCAGTGTCACAATCACCCAGAGCTGCCAGTCCCCTGCCTCAGGCAGGGGTTATCCAGCAGGGAAAGGTATCCAGCAATGCCCACATTTCCCAGCAGAGCAGCTGGAAGGCACAGAACCAGTCAGTGAAGACCAGGGTGAACCGAGAGCAGAATTCCTGCTTGGAGCCCCCATACCTGGAGCCAGACTTGGCAGGTCCCGAAACATCCGAACTCTGCGAGTCCTCATCTGGAGGAAAGCAATTGGAATCACCATTATTGGGGCTCTGCCCAGCTCAGCAGCCCTCCAGCACCTCAAGGATCATTATCCTTGAGATAATAAGGATATTATCATATCTTTATAATAAGGAGAGGGTGGAAGGGGCTGCTTTCACCTCCTAGAAGCTTCCATTTGGAGTTTGTTCGGAATTCCTCCATGAGCTTCACCTCATCGGGGCGTTCATCAATGAACTCTGCCACCTGCAAACAGCACAGGAGCACCAGGGGCTCGCAAAAAGGCAGAATTCCTGCTCCTGACACAGCCACGCAAGCCCAGCAGCCCCAGTCCCTGTGCCTTGCTCCAGCAGAGCCCCTGCTATGTGAAGAACGAGCTGCCTTGATCCGCAGGGAGCTCCCTGGTTCTTCCAGAGCTCCGAGCAGGAATCTCACCCATCCCAGAGGCAGAACACACAAAACACGGGGCGGGAGAGGCGCTTCAGCAAGTTCTTCCCAAAGAGAGACACGAGGTGGCCGTAAGAACAGACTGAGGGTGAGCCCGCGCGTGACAGGAGTCCCCGCTCACCACAGGCATGTCCCCTTCGTCCTCCTCCTCCTCCTTCTCCGGGGCGGCGGCGATGCTGTTCCAGCTCACATCGTCATCCACGATCCGCATGCTGGGGCGGGGAGAGGCGCTCAGGACCCGCCGGAACGGGGGGATCTGCGGGGGGGAGCCCT